TACATTTCATTATATATCATTTCATTGCAGGGTAGCCCTTACCATTAGACGTAAACACTCCTGAAAACGTTTGTTTGGCGTAGAAGAGTCTCAGTCAGTGGAACGGTCTCCCATGAGTATTTTGGGAGAGCCCTCCCTCTAGCGGGAAAAGAGGAGAGTTTTTGGAAGGGGTGCTTTTCTGTCACACCACACGACACAAACGGGAGATACACACGATGAATCGATGTTGCAATACGGGAAAAGGTAAGAAAAAAAGGAATTAAGCTAAAGAATCAGAAGTTGGATGCAGGAAACAAACCACTGTGGACCAGATCGGAGTGTTTTATGGGACTGTATAGTGATTGTCATCTTCCGCCTTCCCTAAAGGGAAAAAAACCCTGAACAAAATCAACAAAAAACTCCATACGAAACTAGTTTTCTTGTATCAGAAATGCTGCATCTTTTATATAAAAATATATCTGAAAATCCTTCAGAACTCTGCATAAACAGCAGGTAGAAAATCCTTGTATACTTATTGATTATTCTAGGAAGTAGTTCACTCTTATTAGCTTCTGAGAAAATTCTGTGTTCTTGTTATGTTATTTATGTTAATTAACATAACTGTCGTCCCCTCATTCACTGTGATTCGTCAATTTTGATAAGCTTCATCCATTTTGATAAGCCTTACCTTCCTCAGAGGCTGCAGAAGAAAATGTAAACATACTCTGGAAAAGTTGTTAAGAATGGGAAACCTTTATTTACTTTGTATTGCTACACCTATTCACTACAATTGCTACACTAATTGCTACACCTATTCACTACAATACTTTGAGCCTTGTCATTGAGGGAGCACCTTACCCAGTGCCCCACGTACTGCTCCTCCCAAAACTGCACAACTTGTCCAGAAGGATGCTGTAGGTCGGTATCCAAAGCCTTACTGAAATGCAGAACTCTACATCCACTGCATTCTCTTCATCCATGAGGTGGATGACCTTGTCATAGAACAGTATCAAATTATAGTTAAATAGGAATTTCTCCTTGTGAGCCCATGTAGATTGTGACTGATGATTACATTATTCTTTAAACGCCTTTCAGTAGTACCCAGTATAATCTTCTACAGAAATTGAGGGTAAAATAAAATGTCTCTATCTTCCCTTGCTCCCATTCCATCCCAGAGTAAACTGGCTCCCTTAGCAACTAAAGGCTGGGAGCCTTTATATATATATTCATAGATGGGAATAACACTGGCCAATTTCCAGTCAGTAGGGACCCCCCCAGACATCCAAGACCTTTGCTGGATGGTCAAGAGAGGTCCTGCCATAACATCCACTTGCACCTTGAGAATTCTGGGATGAATCCCATCAGGTCCCATGGAATTGTGAACACTCTGATGATACAGCTGGTCCCTTAAAATTCTGGTGACCACAAATGGAGAACCACTGTACCTGCAACCCTGTGACTCAGCGACTCAGCACCCCAAGGTTTATCAGTAATACTAAAGACTGACTCAAAAAAAGCATTCAAAAAAAAGCATACAAAAAAAAGGCCTCTGCCTTTTCTTCATCACCATTTGTCAGGTGATCAGCTTCATCAGTTTTGGTTCAGTACTTTCCTTAAACCTCTTCTTGCTATTTAAAAAGCCATTTTTATTGTCTTGACACATCACTGACCAATTTCAACTCTTAGCCTTTAGTGTTTTCTCCCTATCCATGAGAACTACAGCTCTACAATCCTCCTGCAAAGCCTGACCTTGCTTCCAGAGAACATACAATTTCTTCTTCCCCCCAAGTAGCAAAAGAAGTTCCCAGTTCAGCTGAAATGGTCCTCTGTCCCACTTGCTTGATTTACAACTCCATGGCATTACCTGCTCCTGGGCTTGCAGAAGGCAGTTCTTCAAAATCAACCTGCTCTCACAGAAATCCCTGCATGCTCAAAAGGCAGGGCACTGTAAAATGGCTCCCTCAGCAACTAAAGGCTTGCTCTCTTCTAGTCCAGGGTAGTGGCTTCACTGACCTTTTCTCTCATTACACTGCAAATTTCAAACTCCACCATTTCGTGATCAGTGTGGCCAGATGATTACAATTTGTGTTACTACACCTATCATCACTTCTCCTATGAGTCCTCTACACACAGATAAGAGGTGATAAGGTCTCATCTGTTGAGTATTTAAGCAGCCATGGGGAGACACACAGAGCTACGAAGTGACCTGACATGTTGCCTCATATCTCTGAGGGAGAAGCCAGCCTCCTGCTCCCTGAGCAGCTGGGATAGAGAGTTTGTGGCCCTGAATGCCAGAGCTGGCCATCAGGACAACTGGCAGTCTTCACTTGGGCATTGCCTGACTTGCAAGATGTCATCCTTGTAATGCTGTCAATGCTCTTTGGACACAGATCTCAAACCAAAGACATGAGCAAATATTTTTTCAGTACTACAAAGCCATCTCACAGATTATACATTTTTATTTTATTTATGGAATTCTTACAAAAGCTTCACCCAAGTTCTGCTACAGGAAAGCAGTGCAAGTCTCTATATAATTGATTAAGTAGTAGAAATTATTATCAGGACAAAACAAGGCACTTTTGGATGGTTTGTCTCTAAAGTCAGGAATATCTAAGTGGTATGAGAAATTATAACTGAGAAATTGAGGAAATTATAACAGAAGTGAGATATGGGAAACTCTAAGAATTGTTATAAAAAGTTGGAAAGAATTTATGTACCCATTGTGTCTTTAAAATAATCTTTTTAGTACCTGAAAATTACTGAGTTAACATATAATCTGAAGTTGGGCTAGAACTATGAAAACACACTGAAAGACACTTTCTAATGTTAGCCTGCAGTGAATCAAGTTTTTCTCCTATATTTGGATTCTGGTAAACTTCACCTTCCTCAGTATCTACAGAATAAAATGCAAAAACACCCCTTCAAGTTTCTAAAATGTTAAAATACTATACCAGCCATTCATAAAAATTGCAGGGGTTTTTCATTTCCCCTAATTAAATATTATTCAAAAACTTGGGAGGAAAAAGAGTATAAAAAGAGGATTCCACAATGCCTCCTCTTAAGTTTAGTGATTTTCCTCTGGAAATAATCCAAATTACCTCTAAAAGCATTACCAAGGAGCGGCAATGTCAGTGCTCCCTCTCCTGGCCCTGCAGCAACATCGACCTGGGCAAATGCTAACCAGGATAATATCAGGGCTGAAGCCTGTGCACAACAGAAAGAACAAAAATGTGAAGCACTGCACTGTTTCAGCTTCCTCAATGAGAAAAATAGAAGTTGCTTCAAATGGAAACTAGAATTATTTTTAAATATTTCCAAGCTTCTTGAAAGTTTTCCCCAATATCTGACAATTAAAAAATATAAAAGTGCCTTGCACAAGGGACAACAGCAGTTTTCTCAGTTTGTAACATTGAAGGTAATTTTTAAGAATAGCTAGTTACAGATATCCTGACCTCCATAGTGGGAAATCTGAAATATTTAAAATAATAGTTTATCTAATAAATTGTTCACAAAGAAGATTTAAATAACCTTTTTAATGCTAAAATTAGATCCTTTTTTATTGTGTAATTGTAAACCCAGTAGCTCCCCAAAACCAAACAGTACCAGAAATAAAAAGAAGACAACTTCATCCTCTCAGGTGCAATTTATTTCTATAGAAAAAACTCAGAGGACCAACACTTTATTGCATCATCATAGATTTTTAGATATAGTCTGCTATGAAGAAGAACAGGGGGTGTGAACAATACAACTTCTACCTCAAATATGACAGAAGTATCCTTTAAAATTCTTTGGAGTGGTTCTACTGCATTCAACACAGCTCTTTCATCTGTAGGATGAGGCCATCCTTGCTGGATTAGTCATGTGTCTTCTCAGCAGCCTTTAATAATGGCTGGTTATTTCAGCCTTAACTAAGAAAATATATTCATTTATAATTAAAATTAAATTAGTGGTTACACAATAAATGGATAAAGTACACTCTGGCACTTGAGATTTCTTTTTTATTCATTACAATTTTATTGTGCTCTTAGATAGCTGAGCCATCTCAGAGACAATAAAGTTCATACTGTGACTCAGGAATGCCTTCTCTCTAGTGTGGTATACCCTAAACAAAAACTAGGAAAAACAACTTTCCTCTCCTCTGTGGAGAGACAGAATGTGAGAGAGTAATGCAGAAGGCAGTCTCACCCCTGAGGAGCTGCAGCTGTACTAATCACCAAAGATTAGGAACAGGCCTGCCCTTAACAGGCCACAGCTGTGTCCAATAAGAAGATGAGTGCTACAAAAGAGTGAGGTAGATGGGTAAGGAGAGAGTTGGAGTTTGTTGGCTGTGCTCTGAAGAAGCTATGAAGAGCTGACCATGAGAAATCACCAAGAAGGTATGGAACTTTGCAATAAGATGATAACACTCCTCTTGTTCAATTTAATAGAAAGGTGAGCTGGGCATGAGGAGTAGCAGGAAAGGGCAAAATAAAGATCCTGCTTTCTTCCTCCTACGTTTTTGGTATTATTAACATTTGAAATGGAAAGGAATGCCTTTTTATTTTTTTTTTCCCCCATGAGATTTGCGAAGAAAAATATACTAGACAGCACTAAGCAAAAATCTGCCACTCCAGGAATGAACTGTCCACATACTGTGTAGTGTGACCCAAAACTGGGGCAGAACATTAGATGGTGTCTAAGACACACTGCAGACAGGACTTAGAAAATAACATCTGGGATGGACCAGGTTAATTACTAGGGAAGCAGCCTCTCTTCCCTAGCAGTAAATCCCAACCACAGCATATGTTCTCCATGACATGACAGCTGAGACCACAGCACCATCAGCAGCGTCACAGTTGCCTCTAACCTCAACTCCTCCTTCACAGCATTTTGCCCAAGGGAATTGGAGAATGTGGGCAGCCTCTTACTCCACATGTAGGCATAAATTCAGGTGTGGCTCTGCCCCATAATCATTTGCTCGTGCAAGCCAGAATGACACAGTAGCTTGAGACTCCATTAAGATTTCTGGAAGAAGTTGTTCTGCTGGTTGGTGTCATAGGGGCAGAGTTATGAGTCCTTTCCTACTACTCTGCAACCTGGGAAGAAAAGGAAAGACGTATTAATTACACCCTGGCCCTTTTTTCAGTCATCCTTCCCCATAGGCACAAGCAGGGGCTAAGGTTAATTTTGCTGCTGTTGGCAAAGTGGAGCAAGCCTGCCTCTGTGCTGAGGCAGGATGAGCAAGTCCACAACAAGCTATCCCTGCATTCATACAAGTTGATGAGGTTCTAAAACACCAGCATCTTGACTTACAAAACCAACACTTCCTACTTTTCAAAACACAAAGCCATTTAGAGTTATACAATACACACTTAGAATAGTGTGACTACAGAAGTGTGATGTATTCTGCTAAATATCAACTAAATATCTCACTTCTGGTCTCTGTATTTAAACAATAATTAAACCCACAAAATTTGTAGGTTTGACTCCTGACAGACTTCTGTTGCAACTTTGGCTTTCAAGAAAACCTGTCAAACAACTGTTAGGTCATTTCAAAAAAAGCAATGCTTATTCAATGACTTGCAATCTCAAGCTAAATGCTACATGCACCAGCTATGAATACGTCAAACACTTGTGGGTTTGGGACACTCTGCACAAAGCCCTTCCTAGAATTGTAGGGTGGTTTAGTTTGGAAGGCACCTCTGGAGTCCTCCCCTGCTCAGCAGGCCCTTTTCTCCACCGATGTCACATATGCGCTTCCTGCAGCAAGAGAAAGCCGGAGAGATAGATAATCCCAAAGTTTAGGCCTGTTGTATAGAAAGACTATGGACAAGGAAGTTGTCTAATGTCCAGAGCTTATTTAATAATTAAAATTTTTGTTTCAAGGTTAGAGGAAGACATTTACATCTTACAGACCATCTGCTCTGTGAGTTTCTACAGACTCTGCTTTTTACGTAGCAATGGTTCTATTTGGTTAAATTCACTATTCAGGAGTCAATAGTAAAAAAGCAAAGGACTAAACATTCCTATGAACATTATTCTTTTTGGACCACAATCAAGTGAAAGTATTACAAAGCTGAACTGCTTTGTTATACCTGTGGAAGTGTTATACCTGTGGAAGCATTAGTAGGTGTATTCATGGAGAAGGGCAAAAGTGCCTCATCTTTCAGATGCTCAAGAACTGATAAATATTTTCTGTTTGTGAAGGATGGAAGGGGTAGTCTTCAGGTCTGGATCAATTCTGAGAAATGATTCTCAAAACTTATATTGACACCTCCAGAAATGAAAATTACCATAGACAAGGGGTATCAGGAGAAATATCATTTGATCCTTTTACAGAGAGTAAAGGCAGTGCACGTACAGATATTTGTCTAGATAGCAACCAATGGCAAGCCCCAAAACTCAATGACAGTACAAATTAAAAATCTGAGCTACATACAAAATGGTTTAGCTCATTGACCCATCTTGATGCCAGCCAGTTTCAGCAGCCCTGCTTTTTAGCCTGTGTGTTGATGCTAGGGCTTGTGTTAAATTTCAGGGACAAGGAACCCTTGATAACAGGTCTGACCCACCTGAGGTCTATAATACTGAAATGCTTTTTCTGGGAGAAAACAGGAGCCCCTGTTTTCTCACAGAAATGCTTTTCCTGGGAGAAAACAGACACTAGGAACCCCAAGTCTGGTGTGTTATACTCGCTACACAAAACCAGAATCACATTTAACACTACCAGAAAACCTCCAGTCAGAGATGACTGTTTAAATACAATTGGAAATGCAATTGCATTTTCCTAAATAAAAAGATGAAGTGTTAGAAGTATAGATTGAAGAGTTTTTAATAACATAGACCAGTCTGCCTTGTCTTCAAAAGAAAATTAAACTCAATAAAGAAAAAACCCAAGCCAAACCAAAATAACCAAATCATAGAAAACAAATAAAAAAGAAGAATTAACCTTTTTTTTCCCTGTGTGGCAGAAACAGGGACTAATGAAGGTAGTATAGGTTTGGTAAAAAGTTGGATGATGTGCCTGGAAGTTATTCTCTTCTGCAGCTGCTTTTTGTATTTAAAAAAAGAGGGACAAATCTGAGTTAAAAAGACATCTATGGAAAGTTACGAAAATTTCACCTTTCAAATAAAAATCTTTAACACTTAAAATTGCAACTTTACACATTGAGAAAGATTGCTTATGGGTAAAAGTTCAATGGCTTTGGAGAGGAGTCAGTGAAAAAAAAATCTCAAGAAATGTCAGGAAGGATCGATCTCTCAACTTCACTGGCCTCATTCAGCTCTCATGTTAGCAGGGGATCCAATAAAAATGTGAATAAATACAACCCATTGTTTTTAGACATCAAAGGTCACTGCATCGAGTTAGATAAGATTACTTCAATCTAAGTGCACACCAAACCTATGAACTTTGGGAGTTATTACACATGAAAGCATGTATACTACTCTGAAGAACTTAAAGTTTTCATAAGCCAAAAGGGTTGTCAGGAATCTATGATGCATGAATTAAGAGAATTAGACTTGTATTACTTTATTTTCATAACAGTTTATTTATATTTTGGGTTTGTTGATGTTAAAATGTAACCTCTATATTAATACACAGTATATGTCAATTTTCAAAGATTTGAAATTATTAGGTAGTTATTTAGTTCCTAATAACTGTTTGGTACCCATATGATGTCATTATCATGTATCAGCTGTAACTGATTTCTTAAATGAAAGCATTAAATTGTTGAAATCTAAGGATACTTGTTCAGCTTGTTCTCTTTTTCTTCTTACTCCCTTCAGGGTTTTTTTGTACAGCTAGGGATGAAATTTAGGTTATGTTCTTTTTTTTTCTCTAACAGTTTGTGAATTTTATATTGAACAGCTGCAGGAGAAATAAAAACTTATTTGTCTTACAGAATTATGACACTGTAGAAGTTAATTATTACTTTGACCCTTTGTACAGATTCTTATGTTGCCCTAAATGAAACATGATCTTTATGATTTAGGTTTTAGGTAAAGTACTGATTTCACATGTGAATGAAGTTTGAGTCAAGTGAAAACTATTCCTCTTTTGTGTGTTTTAAAAACTATTATGAACCTAAAGGCATTTCTATCTTAAATAGTAGCCACCTTATACATATCTATATATAGACACTTTATATTTCAGAGAAAATTATTTCCTCAGACCTGTTAAATAATTTTATTTTGTATTCTTGTAATTCCAGCTGTGAAATGAAATGAACATTGCCCAAAAGATGCTACAAAACATTGCAGTCACTTCTGAAGAGGTGGGCTGTAAGTATTTATAAGGCTTTTGGGATTTTAAGTCTGCAAACTCTAGAACAGGGAATTCAGCATTTATTTATTTATTTATTACAGTTACTCTGAATATTACTACAGAAGAGTGACAACAGCACATTTCTATAAACACAGAAATGTTCAGAAACTACCACATACAGACAGGTCTTATCCAGTGCATAAAATGTATTTGTGAAAACCTTTTTGTGATCACTAATTTCATTTACTAACAGCTCCCGAATGGCTGAAAAAGCAGTTTGGAAAATTTAAATATGAGAAAAGTTGCTACTGTGATTATATCCATACATTTATGTGGGGAAGCCTTAGAGTCTGTGTTTTTTTGCTGGCTGTTGTATATCCAAGGATCAAAGGTAGTTGCAGTGCTTGTCTGAATGTAGTCTAAATTATTTTCACTAGACACTGGCTTTTGCAAAGAATTGAGGGGACAGATCCAGAAACAAATTAAGATTCTTATCACAATGTCTAATCTCTGTGTGCCTGTCCCTTCAGAGACCCATCAGAATCCTAAGGTTATTGACCCTTTATACGTGTTCACGGGGAGTTAACCTGCAAGTCGGTGACTGTGAATCGAGGACTTTTTTTACAGAACAGTCTCCAGAAAATTTCAGGCTCTGGTGATTTTCTGTCTACTGGCAGAATGTGCTGTTCATTCTCCACTATGCAGGGAAACTGAAGTGTATCTTGTAATTGGGAAATCCTCACCAAAGTACCTACTAAGCTGGCAGCTTATTTGGTTGGCTTGCCACACTCTCCAGTCTTCAACAAACTTACAAAGATGACAATCAAGTCACAAATAATTGTGTGCAGGCAGCCTTAGCCTTCTCCAGCTCTCATTTAGCTGTCTTGGTGACAGTGAATGACCTGAAGTTCCTCTCCCTCTGAGAACACCAGGCAGGCAGCTCAGGAGTCACCCCAAGAAGGCAGAGTGAATGATTTCCGTGAAACACTCGCCTTTGTGCGCTGCCTGTGCAGAACGCCTAGCTCGGGCGCTCAGGTGGGATCTTGGGGAAGCACAGATCAATCGGACTGAGGGGCATCAAGAGGGAACGTTTTCTTTCAGCACATACATAACTTTCCAGGGGAAGGTGCCACACTGGAGGGCAAGGTGTGCAGGGAGCCGTCCTACATTCTCCCACCACTGCTGTCCATGGGGGTCTGAGCAGCAGCGGGGGCTGGGCTCTCCCCAGGTGCACCCTGAGGAGCAGGGACCCCCCCATGCCAGGAAGACACAGAACTTTGCTGCCAAGTCCCATGTTTTCAAACACTTTTATTGTGGTCCTACATCTTCTTTAAAAAAAAAGTAAAAAAAAATTGTATGTTTTTCCTTTTCCTGTCAGTTCCAAACATTTATGGGAATTTGCATGTGGGGAGCCGAGGGAGTACAGGCTGTGCCTCCCTTCCTGCTTGTCCAGGGTGCGGTTCCCTATTGCAGCAACTTCTGGCTGCCTGGGAGATTGGGGGGCTGCTCTCTGCTGCACCCCAGAGCAGCAATTGTGTCCACCTTGTGGCTTATTACAAGGACTAACCCCAAGCACCAGTACAGATTGAGGGTGACCTGCTGGAAAGCAGCTCTGCTGAGGAAGACCTGGGGTTCCTGATGGACTACAAGTTGTCCATGAGCCAGCAGTGTGCCCTGGTGGCCAGGAAGGCCAATGGTATCCTGGGGTGCATCAGGAACAGCATTGCCAGTAGGCTGTGGGAAATGATTCTGCCCCTCTGCTCAGGCCTGATGAGGCCAAATCTGAAGCGCTGTGTCCAGTTCTGGGCTCCCCAGTACAGGACAGACATGGAGCTCCTGGAGCAGATCCAGATGCTGTGGATTAAGGAGCTGGGGCATTTCTCTTCCAAGGAAAGGCTGAAGGAGCTGGGCCTGTTCAACCTCAAGAAGAAACAACTGAGAGGGGATCTCACCAATAATTATCTGAAGGGAGGGTGCCAAGAGCATGGAGCCAGGCTCTGTTCTGTGGTGCTGGGCAATAGCACAAGAGGCAATGTTCAAAAACTGCTGCACGGAAGTTCCACCTGAATCTGAGGAAGAACTTCTTGACTGTGCAGGTGACCCTACACAAGAACAGATTGTCCAGAGAGGTTGTGTTCCTCAAAGGGGTTATTCAAGAAAGATCTGGAACCAACCCTGTTCAATGTGCTCTAGGATGGCCCTGCCAGCGCAGGGAGGCTGGCCCAGATGACCCAATGTGGTCCCTTCCAGTCTCACCCGTTCTGTGATCATATTAGGTAAGGCCATCAGTGTTTCCAAGAAACAAAACAAGTACATGCGCATTTCAAACACCAGTCGGGAATACACCATGGTATTTCCTTTGTCCCTAGAGCACTGTTCCGCCCAGCCAAGGCACCCTCACGCCGTGGGCTCGGAAGGGTCCCCAGCCCCTCAGACCCCCCCGCCCGCCCCCACAGCGCGGCCTCCCCGCCCGGCCCCGCCTCCCGGCAGCCCCCGCGCGCCGCCCGGCCTCGCGAGACTCTGGGCTCTCGCGACAGCGGGGCGCCGCCATCTTACCCGCTCGCTCGGGCGCTCGCTGTGTCGGGCGCTGCGGCTCAGGGCGGCGGGGGGGCCGCCCGTCCCGTCCCGCTCCGCTCCGCCGCCACACTCGGCCGCGCCGCCCTCCGGCGGGGGGGACCCGCGCTGCGCCCGGGACTCGCTCCCCGGCAGAGGAGCGGCGAGAGCGGGGCCCGCGGAAAGCAGCCGCTGCTCGGCTGGTTCCGCCCCCTCCGTGTCGCTGGGCCTCCGGCCCCTGCCGGGCGGCTTCTGCCCAACCGGGAGGCGGCGGAGAGTGCGGGGAGGCGCGGCGGGAGCCGGGGTGCCGGCCGGCCGGCGGGCGGCGCGGACCCCACCGCCGGGGCTGCTGCTGCTGCTGTTGCTGCTGGCGGGGAGGCGGGGGGCCCGGGCCGCTCTGAATGGTGGTTAAAATGATCATAGAAAACTTCGAGGCGCTGAAATCCTGGCTCAGCAAAACCTTGGAGCCCATGTGAGTAACCGCGACCCTTCTTCGCCCTCTCGCCCCCTCGAAATAAACCTTCCCCTTGTAGAAGATGGGGATCCGCAGGGGCGGGAAGCGCGGTGCCGGCGAGTCCCGGGAGGGCACCCCGGGCGATGCCCTCTCAGCACCCTTCTTCCCCGCCGCCGTGTGTGAGGGGCCGCGTCGTTCTTGCGCTCTCCCGCTCTCCCGTCGCCGTCCTCGGCCGGGAGGTAGGACCATCTCCCTCCTGAGGATGCAGCTTCCCCCCCTAGCGACCGCGTTCCTCCTCCCTTTGTAGCCCAGGGAGAGCGGGAGCCGCCGCGTGTGCGTGTGCAGCTCGGCGTGCCCCGCGCTCGGCCCCGGCGATGAGCGGGGGTGGGCACGGCCCGCCGCCCTGTGCGGGACCTGCGCCCAGAGGGCTCAGGTGCCGCTGGGACGTCCAGCGGGGTCCTGGGATCGTCCCTGCAGGCTCATTGCACATCATTCTTGGTTAGTTGCTGTATTTGACGCTCTCTGGTTTCCCTTTCCCCAAATAAAACTTGCATCAGTAGAGGACTTGGGAGTAGGAGCCCCAGAGAATAATTTGCTTGTTTGTGAATACGTGCGTGCCCTCTAAGGATAACATTCGTGTGAGTAAGTGGGGCTCTTCTGTAAATACATCTTCCTTCTCTCAGTGGTATTTTAGTGGAACTGAAGCATGAACTTAGTTTTAAAGGTGTATCTTCTGGAAGTATGGTGTCTACAGATGAAAGCATGTGCTTTTTTTTTGTCATTCTGGACCACTTTTGGTCCAGTGGTCATTCTGGACCACTATTTTAAACATGTCTGAATTAAATTTGCTGGAGTTTGATTTGAGTTAAATGAAGTAGAACTCCTCAATTCAGTCTGGTGTTAGCTTTTGTGCTGAGGTGTTTGCCCACTGTAGCTTTTACTCTTGACGAGCTCAGATGGGGGAGCAAAATTTTCTTTATTGCTTCCATAGCCATTTGTTATTTGTATGTACAGATACACTTTGTAGGACTTATGCTGTAATAACTTGAAAAAGTTGTAAGATGCTGGGACATTTTTAGGAGAACTTCACCTGGGTTGTTCTTTTGTTTGTGGCTTTTTTTGGAGGTGGTGGGGAGGAGGTAGTGGTTCTCTTTTGTTCCATAGGGTCTAATCAAGACCACACTGAAATAGATGAACTGAGTTTACTTTCAGTGGTCTTTGAATTAGGCTTGCAACAAATTACACTGTCTTTGTTATAAAAGGTTTGACGTTTAAGATTTTTATTCTGGGGGGGGTAAAAAGGGCATAATCTTGTAAAGCTGTAGTTTGGGGAAGGTGAATTACTTTTTATCTTGAGTTGGTATAATGCAATATGTTGTCTTCTGGGGTAATAGACTTCCCTAGTCCTCTGCTGCATAATGCTCACTATTAGTTTCTGGGTACTTTCTTGTATGAATATTTTGTTAAGGGCAATCAGCAGTTTGATGCCAGTATTTTAGAATGTGCTGGTTAAGAGGCTTAGAACAGACTCAGGTTGGTCCATGTTTCTTTGTTTGAATATTAAACCATGAGCTCTGTTAGCAATAGCCACCAGTTACAAGGGTAAAATTGAGATTTTCAGCTTTCATGATCTGTGCAATTTTCTGCTTTCTCCCACTTAGATGACCAGCATGCATCTGTTAGGTTAAATGTGGTGTGTGAGCAGATCAAATGTGGTTGTCGTTTTGGAAAACTGTGGAGAGCTAGGGAGATGCTGGTCTGGAGGATGATGAGTTCCCTGCATTTTTAGCTTTGGGAGAAAACACAGCAGCAGTGACTGTCATTCATTCAGTTTTCTGCCGTGTCCGGTGCAAATGCATTGTTGAATAGATATTAGAATCGGCGGAGATGTATTGCCCTTTCCTGGCACTCAGGTACTCCTGGAGGTGCTTTTGGTGTCAGCTGTCTGAAGTGTGTGACTGCAGCCGTGGCTTCTGGCTGCATGAAAATTTCAGCGTTACCTCTAAAGAAGTAACTGTTGCACTACTAGTGCGTTGAGGTGCTAACTGCTGATCCCTCTGAAGGTGTTGCTGTAGCCCAGAAATGCTTTTTGGTTTGTCTTTTCCTGTTAATGAAACAAAAGTGCCAAATGTTGTGTAGTGGCTCTTTCAGAAACCTTCAGCTGCATGATACATGGCTGAACCTCCTGACTGCACTAAGAAGGACACCACTGTATTAGGTTATTATCCAGGTGGTGTCTCGGTCCTTTCAAGGGGAGAAGTGCATTTAAGAAGAACCATAAATAAATTTTATACAAACATGTCTAGATCTATATTTGTGTGCTAGTTACCTAGAGCTGAATAGTTAGAACATGCTGCACATTCCAAGTTGCCTTTTCCAAAGAGCTAGCCTTTTTTAATCAGCATGTATAACTTGTTCCAAAGGCCAAAATGCATGTACTTCTAAAACATAATGTTTCAGAATTAAAATATCGCAATAGCCACAAAAAATGTCTCCTTTAATCTTTAAACAGTTCTAAAAATGCTGACTTCTTAATACAAAGAAACAAGTGCGTTATGTAATTCTATAGACTGGACAAGATTTGGTTGTTGGACTGCTTTCACGTGGAGTCTCTGGGAAACAGTGTTCATAGACAAGAATGTTTGAAGGGGAGAGATGGTGGAGGATTTAAGATTTGGAATTTTGTTAGTGGTAGGTTGTTGGGTTTGTTTGTTTGTTTTGGACTACTCTAATGCCTTTGGCAAAGCCTTGGTGATCATCCATACAAAAAGGCCTTATGTGAGTTTTGTCTTGTTGCAGTGAGGCAGAAATTGCGAATGCTTCCATGCTGGAGCCTTTGCAAGTCCAGCTCGGTTTAGGGCTAATAGGTCTGTAGGATTTTTCTACACCTCTTCAAGAAAAGACTGCTTTTGTCATTTTGGAAGTAACTCTCCGTGCAGAATTGCTAAATATATGCACAGAATCATTGCAGATACAGCCATGTAAATGTACTACCAGTACAAATGAACTGGCAAGAGGCTTTTTGTGCTGTGGCTACTGTGTGTTTGACTAGAATTATCTTGTATATTCAACTCCAGTCAGCTCTGTAAAGAAGGCATTTGTTACCAGTCATCCTCGTTGCTTGCAGACAGCAATGAGCTAAGTTTCTGGTGTTACACACTTTCTTGTTTGTGGCATGGTTTCTGTCAAGTGTTGGAAAATGTTAAACTTGGAATATAACCGTCTGCCTGTCACTTGTGATTTCTGTACTAACAAGGCACTCACTGAGCCTGTCAATTGTGATGAGTTTCTTTCCTGCAAGTCCGTTCCAGATACTCTATAAACTGTATATAGTCCTTGCTGGAATATTAGGATCTGTCTTGGCAAAGTTCCAAGTAGGGATTTCTTTAATTTTTTTTCTTGAATTTGTTTGAATCTTTACTTGTGAAATAAAATAGCTTTTTCTACTAATGATACACTTACAATTTTGCTTTTAAGACATTGTAATATTCTCCCCCTTGCCCTAATTCTCTACACTGGAAAGTTTCCTTGGTTTTAATTACTTTGTGTAAAATAAATTAAATTGAAATATTTGTGGCCTGCTGAATTTTACTTTCAATTTGATTAAGGCTCTCATATCTAATTTTTTTTCACTTCACTGTATTTACATTTTTGTGAAGGTTTGTTCCTGTGCTAAATCAAACTTGAAAAAAAGATGAAATGCCTACAACAACATTGTGCACTGTTTAGGCATACCTCATTTAAATGGAAAGATATTTTTCATTGGTGAATTCTGTAAGTGAATGGGGTGTTGTAATGACTTTCATCAGATGGAATAAAATGAAAATTGTTTAAAGAATATTTTGAGTATATTTATCATTGGAATATTTTTTGGCCAGTGATCTGTGTCCTCTGGTGTTTTGCTCTCACTATTATTTGTTTGTCAAGTTTTTCAGCCCTTTTTTTTTTGGCTTCACAGGTTACTGAGAAAAGGTAGCAAATAAAAAAGGTTTAACAGTGTTGTAAGAACTATGCTAATAAGTCAGGACATTGGAAGCATAGAAATAAGTTAAATGAAAAACCTTGTCATTTATTTCATGTGGCACATCATCCTACCAATAACACTTATTGGGCCACCATGAGATTTCTCTGATTTTCCATGAAACTTCCTAAGAAGTTCAGAGGCAATAAGCATTTCTCTTCATTTCACTCATTTTGTTAACACCTCATGTGAAGCTATTTGTAACTAAGACAAATAAAGCACAAATGCACATCAATGGTATGTAGTTTTTAACACTAGTTATTTTTCTACATCTGCTATGAAACCTGATAGTTTTTTCACCTGACTCACAGAGAGCTACTGTGTTTGAGAAATCAAGGTACCTAGCTTAGAGTGCTGATACTGCTGAGTTTCTGAGTAAAAATATTATATTAGTATTAAAAGATTGGCACTATTAGGTATAGTTGAAAGCAGAAAATAAAAAGGAGAAAATTACTCCTGTTACAGGAAACCTTTTTTGTTCTTGCAGTGAATATCAGCAGCAAAGTGTAGCCCCTTTGACTGCATTGCGAGTCACAGAGACACTGATGAGTTTTGCTTTCTGCACGGAATGGGTGTTGGAGAGTCAGCAAGCTGACAGCTGTTCTGCCTCA